CCAACCCCGACGCGGGCCGCTGCCTTGGGCGCGCAGCCGGGTTGGCACGTCCTTCTTAGCGGAAGCGCTGCGGCGGCTGCAAAGAGCCGGCAAGAGCTCTGATTAAGGTCTGAGCCAGCTCTTCTGCAGCTCTCTCGCGCGCTGGCGGGACCCAACACCTCCTCCGCCGCCCTCCCCCAACCCCTCCTCCTTCCGACCGCCACCCCCACCCCTGGGGTCCCTGTCTCCTTGCACTCTCCGCCCCACGCCTTTATCCTTCTTTGCGCCCCTCGGGTGCCTGCACTTCACCTTCCTTGCCACCTGCAGCCAGGCCACTCTCGCGGGGGCGCTCACGGCCCCCTCCTCCAAGCCCTCTCCGCTACCCGAGCCCGCAGCGGGAGACTGCGGCGCTCCAGAACGCGGCGGTGCTAGCGGGGCGGAGAAGGGGAGGACCTGCGGGAGTGAGGGCGGGGGTGCCTGTAAGCGAGTGAGGTGGCCGCTCCCGTTCTCTCTCTTCTCCTCCCTCCAGTCCAGATCTGGCCGCGTTTTTCCGAGTCCAAGGCCGCTTTTATCCCGACATTTGGCCGCAGAAGCTCAGCTCCGGGAGAACTCGAACCTACTGGAGTGTTGCGGGTGCACCCCGGACCTGGGTGGAGTTTAGGATAGGGGAGTGGAGTACTGTTGGTTTAGGAAAGTTAGGTTCTTTTCGTAATTTCCTTTTAGAACGTATTTTTTTCTCTTTTGTTGCTTTAGAAGAAAATGGTTTTGGAGATCTGCAGGCCCAAGGATGACAACCCATTTTGCAGGCGAATTTTCCTTTTCTACCCTCCTATGTTTTAATATAAAACAGTATCCTGAAAGGTCAGGGACGTACGTGTTCCCGTAAAGGATTTGTTAAGCGCCGGGTATAAACTTTCAAGAGGCAGACGCAGAAGCCACATTAGCGCCCCCAAAGTTACCGATATCCTTTCCTCTCTCCCAGCAGCCACTGAAAGCAAACGGAGGTCTTGCGCCAGCCACTCAATTCAAATCCCCACGGATTCTGTGATTGAGTTATGGATATGGGATGGGGCCACTTTTTCACCTTCTTAACCCATAGACCCCAGTCATAGATGTCTTGAGGGAGAGGGTCCTTGCACAAGATGACAGCAGAAAACTTTGTTTAGATTATTTGCGTGTTACCATTCCCCCAGGAGTGGTGGGTTTGGCCTAGTGCAGGCCTATCGCTATATATGCACGAGGAAGGCCCTCCCCGCTCGCACCTCCCCCCTGGCCATTGGCAAACAAACAAAAACCAAAAAAAAAAAACAGGTGGATACACTGCAGGGCAGCACAATAGCTCTATGCGAAGCGGGGCAGTTCCAGAGCCTTCGTTGGATACGCTTCTGAGAGTGTGCACCAAGCTCATCTCCTGGTGGGGAATCGAATGCTAGATGAGAGCAGGCAAGTCCGCTGCAATGCCCGACCCCTCGTGGGCACAGAGGCCCTTGTCCCCTCGGGGAGGCCGCTTTTCTCTGTACTGCCCTGGAAGTAAGCAAGCAACCCGAAAATGTTCCTCTGGTGTTTGCTGTGAATTCAAGGGAAGCACCACCAGGCATTCTAGCAGCCAACCCTCTGCCTAGAAGGCTGATTCGCAGAGGAGAGGAGGGTGGAAAACCGAACCCAGTTGTGTGTTTCCCTTGAAGCCCTTAGCTGTTCCCGTTTCATACGCGTCCGGGAGGTGGGGATCGCGGAAGACTGACCTGGTGGAGTGTGGACAAGTAGCTCTAGCTATTCGAATGCTAACCTTGGGAGGCCATCCTCCAAAGCCGCGTGGGGTAGGGACCCCTCGGTCTTGCCCCTTCCGCCACCACTTTAATCCTTCCTCTAGTCTCAACCTTCTCTAGGAAAACAAGCCCTAAAACATAAATGGAAGGAATTTCGTCAGCTTTGGGGACGGGAGGCAGAGGTTGCCCCCAGCCCTGTATAGGTCCGAGGCTAGGAAGTGGGGAGCTGGACAGAAGTCATTTAACGTGCTGAGATATAGAGGGCCTCAAATGACACCTTATCTGAAAACTATTGCGCTGAAACCTCCGGATCTCTTGGAAATGTGGGGACCAACGACTTTTTTCAAAACCAAATTTCTTCCGATTTTCTTCAAATAGTCAGTGAAACGAGGAAGTATAAAGAACTTGAGCATGAGTAAATTTTTAAAAGGAAAGCAGAAGAGCTCTGCACCAGGTTTGTGGGGGCATTCTCACTACCAAGGCGACCCCTTTTCCCCCGTCGGTCACCTAGCCACCCTATCTCGTTGCCACTCAAACAGTCTGGCATTATTTGGTCCCGGGGGCCCGTTTCACTCTGGTGCACATCGGGGGCTGAGATCTAAATACTCATTTGATATAGTGCAGTAATCCTTTTCTCATATTTGATGGGAATGTTTTCCATATCCCAGTATTTGACAACATCTCCCTATAGGGACAGGTTTGTATTTATGTTGGTAAAATGTCCCCTGCCTCAAAGTCTATTGTAACCCAACACCTGACAACCCCGAGTCCCATTTCTGTTTGCAGAAAGGGTTTATTCAAGCACATAATGGGATCCCAGCAGAAAGCCTTTCAGAACAAGGGGCTATGGTAAACTTCACCACATGAACTCCGTTTCCAGGGCTATTAAGCTTTTAATTGGAAAATAGCAGAGGAAATTTCAAGGTGACTATAACGTGTTAGCAGTTAGTGCAGAGAAGAAAAGCCGAAGCGGGAATGAATGTAGAAAGCATATGGTCCAAATCACATTTAGGAGGAGCGGCCTGCTTCTACTAAGTCCCAGTAGCTTACACACTTATGGGAAAAATCATCAAAGAAATTGGAAAGGGAAGGGGGAGGATTACAAGTAAATGTAACCTCACTAGACTAGATCCATTGGTGCTCTCCTCTGGATGGTGTGCTCTCAAACCGCAATTAACTGAGTAGAATTGTGGCAGATAATCGTGGAAGAGGGGAAAATAATGTGCGTTTGTGGGTCTTTCTCGGCACACACAATCGCTGGGTGTCTGTATATGTAAAAGGTCAGGATGAAGGTGCCCTTGCTGAGAAACTGATACTCCAGATCTGGGAGTCCTGGTCGGTGCTCCTCATCCCAACTAATACTTAATCAAAACGACAGTTTCCGATTGTCCCGGATGTATAACGCTTCAGGAAATTCTCTGCTGGATTCTCATGGAAGGGGAGGTCAGGGTTCCTATTTTACTGTTTTCATCACGATCACGGTGGTATCAGTGCAGGCAGACACTGGAAGCCTGAGCATGAGGAACCACTGTGAAAGCAGGAAAACTTGCCCCCTCTCCCTGTGCGTGAACTTAACTACTCAGCTCTCACCCGGTCGGCTTCTCGACCTCGCTCTTCGGCCAGCTTCAAATTGAAAGGACTTGGGGGAAATGTCTAGCCAGGGGGTGGGGCATCCAGCAATCAATTTCTTTAGATGGCAATAGTGTCCTGGTTCTCCCTCAGCTGGTGGGGGACAGACTCATGCAAACCCCCCATGAGATACCCGAAGCCGCCCTCCGGGGTGAGGGGTGGAGAGCAGAGGCCACTGGGGGTCGGGGAGACGACTGAATCCGCATCGAGCGGCCCAGGACACTACTGAACATGGGGGATGGTCCTGGACTGTTGTCCCCACATAATTTTGGTAGGGGAAGAGACGGGTCGCAGTCTGAGGCCTGCTCCTGATCCCCAGGTGCCGAGGCCTTTGGGGACAAACAGGGAGAGCAGACGGCCTGTGACCTCACTGGCCCTAAGCCGACCGGGCAAGAGCAGCCAGGTCCTTCATGTTCTCGAACTCTCGAAGCCAGCAGCGGCTCACGTATAGGAGCCAGCGCTCTCCCCCTTGCGGATTCCTCAGACCCAACCTGGATACAAGACAGCGCCAGCCTTTTGTGGGGTTGAGGTGTCGCTACAGCACGGCTTCATCTGAGGGTCCACAGCCGCGACCTCAGCCCCGCGCTTTCGAAGTAACTGGAAAAGCGCGCGCCTGGGGCCCTCCCCGCTAGGCCGCGGTTTTTGGAGGCCTTGGGCGCAGCCCTCGTCCAGCTCCAGCCTCGCTCCCCTGTCGGTAGCTCCCGCAACGGACCCGACGCGGAGGAGTAGAAGGGCGTGAGTCCGGCGGGGGGCGTCGGCCACTTCCCCACACCATCTTGGAAGGGAGGGAGACGGGTCGCAGAGCCGGTCCACCCTAAATGCAAAGGAAAAAAACACGTCTCCACCAACGTAAAATGAGCAGCGCTGATGTTAAGTCTTAAGATAATCGTTACCCTGCGACTTTAAAACACAAGCGCTGAAAAAATAATTTTAGGTAATTTGAGCAACATTCAAGGGACAAGGAAAGTTTCTTTTCCCCAGAGCGTTTGCTCTCAGGGCTCTGGGGCACTTCTTCTTCGAGACAAGCCCCTTTTCCAGAAAACCTCACCAGCCTCCCGCCTCCTCCCTTGCCGTCCCCGAACAAAGCCCAGCCGCAGGGAAAGCAAGCGGATGTGCGCGCTTCTGGGAAAGCGTTCGGCTTCAGGGGTCCGAGAGTAATGAAGGGAAACGGCCAGCGCTGTCGGCACCCCAGGAACAGTGGGCTCGAACTTAGCCTGGAGGCCAGGCCGAGGCGCCCTGCGGAAACGCGGGAACTAAAAGTAGGGAAGTGCCCCACCCGGCCGAAAGTAGGCCCGGACCCTCTCCTCACTTTCCTGGCCCAGGAGCCTCAAGGGCGGGGCAACTTCCGGAGTGCTCGGGGCCCCGCCCCCCCCAGACACGCCCCGCTTTCCTCTCCCACCCCGGCCTCGCGGGCCGCGGCTTTCAACTGTGGAAAAGTTAGTTTGCTGGTTATTTGCACCGGGGCGGGGGCCTGGGGGAGCCGGCGAGGGGGAGGAACTTAAACAGGTGGTGGAGTAGAGGCGGGTCCGCGCTTCCGAGGGCAGGCGGGCGGGGGAGGGGCAAGGGGGCGACTTTTAAAGGTGAGAATCGCCAGCTGTTGGCGGTGCCCAGCTTCAAGGTCGCAGGGCCTCTAAGGCTGCGGATTTAAGGCCTCGTCCGCGTGTGCGCGGGGGGCGAAGGGAGAGCTAGGGCCCCACGCCAGTTTCCCGGACAAAATTCCCAGAGGGGCAGCGGCGCGCGGGCAGGCAGCCACGACCCTGACCCGCCCGGCGGACAGGGCCTAGCGGGGGAAGCCAAGGAATATCCTCTACTCCTCCACAGGCTGCCCTTACGGTTTCTCTGTAAAGCGCGACAAAGCGTTCTCAAAAGCGCCATTAATGCGACTCGGTGCAAAGCGTCAAAATGCGGTGCGATACACGTATACGTAGGAAGCCGGTTCAGCATTAAAGTTCAAGTGGAGCGGAGGAGGCTGCATTTTTAAATTTTTATTTTTTGAGACGGAGTCTCGCTTTGTCGCCCAGGCTTGAGTGCAGTGGCACGATGTCGACTCACTGCAATCTCCGCTTCCTGGGTTCAGATGATTCTTGTGCCTCAGCCTCCCGAGTAGCTGGGATTACAGGCGTGCACCACTACGCCTGGCTAATTTTTGTATTTTTAGTAGGCGCGGTTTCACCATTTTGACCAGGCTGGTCTCGAACTCCTGACTTCAAGTGATCCGCCCTCCTCAGCCTCCCAAGGTATTGGGATTACAGGCGTGAGCCACTGGCGACCGGCCGGGGGGCTGCATTTTTATGTGTGGGCGGGAGTCTTGTTTTCGCGAGAATCGAGGGAAACCGCAGTGCAGGCCAGGTGGGTCTGACTCCCACCCCTGTCCCCGATTGCGGTCTCAGAGCGTGGTTAACGGAGGGAGCCCCAGCTGTGGGTATGACGGTGGTTGTGGCAGCAAGAAGATGAGTGTCACCTAGGGCGTCCTGGGCCCCAACTCAGTGGCGCAGGGTCCGCAAGACACGAGGTGGACTATGAGCCAAGGGCCCCGGGGCGGCGGC